ATATATATATATGCATATATATATATATATTATTAAGACTCCATCTTGAAACAAGTCAGTGAAGGTAAGAGAAGTCAGGTCTGTTGCCAGCTTTGGCAAATGTGCCATTTCTGAAAAACAGACTGAAGCAACAGGGGATGAAGGGGTGGCTCAAATGGCAAGGCCTAGAGATCAAACTTCAGTGTTATAAAAAAGAAACAAGCCTCACACTGGTGGTTCAGGTCTGTAATCCTAGATATTCAAGGGGGCTGACATCTAAAGATTGCGGTCTGAAATAAGCAGGGAAGTCTGTGAGACTCTTATCTCCCATGAACTACCAAAAGCCATCGGTAGAGCTGTGGCTGAAGTAGTAGAGCCATAGCCTTGAATAAAAGCTCAAGGACAGAGCCCAGGGCCTCAGTTCAAGCCCCAGTTTCTAACAAACAAAACAGAAGACAGAATATTAAGTTTGACATCATATTCTCTTTCACTGGTTCTAAAATCATGCCATGTAGGTTTAATATTGTCTTGTTTTGGGATAATACATTTTCTTTCCTTCTCCTTCTCTCATCTCTTTCTTTATCCTAGTGTGTGTGTGTGTGTGTGTGTGTGTGTGTGTGTGTGTGTGTGTGTGTGTATGATGGTACTGGGGCTTGAACCAGGGCCTTGCTTTCTTGCTCAGCGTTGTAGCTCAAGGCTGGTGCTCGTAGTACTACCACCACCACCACAGCTGGTGTCATACCTCTACTTCTAGCTTTTTTTTTTCTAGTTGAGATGAGCATGACTGACTTTCCTGTCTAGACTGGCTTTGAACCACATTCCTCAGATCTCAGTTTCCTGAGTAGCTATGATTTCTGATGTGAGCTACCAGTCCCTAGCTTTATTATTGTTTTTAGTAATAAACTTATTTGGTCCTCAGAAAAACAATTGAGAACTTATGCAAATGGCTGATAAATATGAAGATAATAACAAAATCAGATTTCATGGAAACCCTTGATACATCATACTCTGGAAAATAGTGACACCTATGTGAAAATGTCAACATAGTTAAAACTCCAACGGCTTAAGGAAGGGGAACCCGGTGTCATCATTTTCCTCTGATCAGCAGTCCCCAATGCTGGCCTGACTCTGGCTGAGCTTACCTGTTCATTTACACATCAAAGGTTTATGGTTAATCAATGGTTCTTCATCACATTTTCTGGTTTCAAAATTCAGTCTTCTCCACTTGCTAGGCGATTATATCTTAGTCAAATTGTGTTATGTTCTTTAACTGTTTGGCCAGCATGGCTTCTACCTCTAGAAGCTTAAGAGGAAGTTTAAATGAGATGGTATCTGTAATGCAATAGCCACTCTGTAATACCTTTTAGTCTTAAATGTGCAAGCCATTGCATAGGACATATACATGTCCCTACATGTAGAAAATATACAAACTTGATCTACAACAAGATCCTGCTCCTCAGGAAAGATAGAATAAAAGATAGCTACTATGATATAAAGTATATAATTAGTGAACAAAAAGAGAGAGAATGGCAAAGAGCCAGGATAATGCAGGTGACCGAGGGATGACCTCTACCAAGCAAGTTCTAAGAAGGATGACATGGAGGAAGTAATTTTTCATATTAAGGATGAAACACACACCCACACACCAGGGAGACTTTTCTAGGAAGAAAGAACAAGGTTGGTAAGGAGAAAGAAATATGAGAATGTGAGATGTGACATGTATTTGAGGGAAGGGAGACCCATTCTCTTTGGGTTGAATTAAAAAGTTTTTGCTGTATATAGCAAAAACTATACCTTAGTTTAATAACTAGTAACTAGTAACTACTGGAGGCATACTTATGACAACTATTACAAAAACATACTTAAGAGGTATAGAAAATCAGCCCTAATATGCTGGATGAAATACCAAGAATTTCAATATAGCCTGCCATTAGTATAGCAGAATATTGGTGACAATTAGCTTATAAAGCAAGAGGGTTTGTTCACATCAGTTTGGAGGTTCAAACCCAAGGCTGGATAGCCTATTTGTTTGGCTTCTGATGGGTGGCAGATTGCAATAGTTGGGGGAAGATGGTAATGGTTAAGAACACATGCTGGAATGAATGCTTACATCTACAAATAGGAAGCAGAAAAGACTGACAGACAAGGATCCCACATTCCTTTCAAGTTCATGCCCAGTGATATAAGAAACTCCCATTTGATCCTACTTTCTAAAATTCCACAGAACCTCCAAGCCTGGAGACCAAGCCTTCATATATAGACCTTTGGAAGACATATATTCAATAACAACTGAAGGCATTTTCAATAAACTCAGTGATATACCCATTAAAATACCTTCATTGTTTAATTGATGGGTGCCAGTTTTTAACTTTTACTTATTCTTTGTACAGGTATGATTTCCATTCCTTTGTTCATCCCTCACACACTGTTCAACTGGAATTTTGGAATACAAATCTGTACATTTTGGCTTATAATTGACCATCTTTTGTGTACAGCATCTGTGTATAATATTGTCCTCATCAGCTATGATCGATACCAGTCAGTTTCAAATGCTGTAAGTAAAATGTCCATTTGTTTTCCTTACAAGATTATAGAGATGTAAATTTTGGGTGCCCAAGCAAAGAAACAAAAGAGGTACTAGGGATGGATCCCATAGATTTTGACATACTAAGCACATGATCTACTATACTTTCATTCCAACAACAAAAACAATGTCTAATTTTTTTGTTGTTGGTCTTGGGCCCAGAACCCAGGGCCTGGGTATTTTCCTTGAGCTCTTTTGCTTAAAGCTTTTGCTCTTTTGCTCAAAGTCCTCATTGCCTTGTTTCTTAAGAACACAAAGATTAGTGATCACAAGTAGAATACTGGTTATTTAGCAGGTTGGATATACATGAGAGCTACAGTAGTTTCACACTATAGACAAATTGAGACCTGAATATTATCTTCAGGATGGTACATGGTAAATACAGAAAAAGATACTAGATTTTTGAATGGAACAAGAAAATCATTTCTGAATGGCTGAAGGGGAAAGACAGGTTATATAATAGAACCATCTAGAAAGACCAAGTTCCAGTGACAATTTAGGACCTTTGGCAAAGTCTGAACTTTCCCCAAATCTAACCAAATAGCCTCATTAATGAGTGGCAATACTTAAGCAAGCAAACTTTCTCAAAACAAAGGAAGACATAGGCTGAGGGGTAGATAGGAGCCACATCAATGTGGGGCAGTGATTTGAAATCTTTGTGGCCTTGATGAGAAATTCATTTACTTGTAAAACTTGGGGTCCAAAATCATTCAGGAACTACCATGTTTAATAGGCATTTTACCAAGTACTGGGATAGAGAAATGAATCAACTGTGTGTGTGTGTGTGTGTGTGTGTGTGTGTGTGTGTGTGTGTGTGTGTTCTGGCTTGAATTCAGAGTCTGGGATCTATCCCAGAATTTTTTTTGCTCAAGGCTAGAATTCTACCACTTGAGCCACAGATCCACTCTTGTTTTTGTTTTTGGTGGTTCATTGGAGATGAGAATTTCACAGACTTTCCTGCCTAGGGTAGCTTAGAATCTTGATCCTTGGATCTCAGCCTCTTGAGTTGGATTACAGACACTGGCACCTGGATTAACAGTCTGTTTTAACAGTCTAGGATGATGCAGAAACATATGAGTTCATCACAGTGACAGGAGTGCTGGGCTGGCAGTTGAGAGGTCAGGAAGGCTCTTGTCTGGGAGGACTGTGTGCTCTGGAGACCAACAGGACAGAGGTCTTAGATGAATCAACAGACAAACTTCTAGAACAGAGTAATTCCAAAATCCCAAGGCTTAAGCAAGACAGGCGTTTCTTTCTCCTTCACAGAATGGTCTAGGTAAGGCAGAATGCTCTGTTCCAAGAACTTACCCAGGAACCCAATTATAGGTTAGCTTTACATTTTTCAAATTAGCAACTAGGAAGTTTTTTTTTTTACTATTCAGAGCCAGACAAAAAATATTTTCAGTTTTGTAGGACCTATGATTTTGATCGTAACTGCTCAAATTGGCTGTTGTCGTGAAGAATAGCCCTAGATGAAAAAAAATATTTGATTGTATAGTAATGCAACTTTATTTACAGAAAGGGGTATTGGGTTACATTTCTTTTATGGACAGTGATAGGCTGATCCATGTGCTAGGATATTGTCCTCTGCGTGGTTAAAGCCTGGTTGTTGTTTCATGTGTAGCCCTTACAAAAAGAAAGAAGCCATCCAAGCAAGACCAGTGGGAGCTCATAGGAAGTGATGGTGGAAAGCTGAAATCTTCCTGCAGCTGGAAGGAACAGAGACAGTGTGATAGGAAATGGGTGGGGGCTGAGCCCAGGAAATGGAAATCTCACCATAGTTTGGAAAAGCAAAGGTCAGTGCAGAGGACAGTACATGATCACAGGGCTCAGAGATGTTTTCTGGAGGGGTAGATGCTATTTGTCTGAAACAAGGATGATGAGAAAGGAAAACTGTAGGCTAACTGTAGTGAAGGAAATGTGAATTAAAATGGACACAGAATAAAGATAGGAAGAGGAGCATATTTTTACCTGAAGATGAAGAAAAAAGCTTGAGCTAAAAGTAATGCTGCCAAGAGAGCTGGTGAGGGAGTTGGGTTGACTGGCTAAGGTTGCCATGACAGGGACTGGTATGCTAAAAGCACCAGAATCTTATTTCTCTTGGATCTAGAAATGGAAATTTAACATTGACGTGTACCCAGGACTATCCTCTCTCAGAAGGTGCTAGGAATCTTGTTCCATGTCTTTCTTAGCTTCCAATGTTGGCAATTCTGGGTTTACAGATGTATCCTTCTAATCTCTGCTTGTGTCATCATCTGGTCTCTTCCCTTGGTGTCTGTATCTCTGTTTCTTCTTCTTATAAGGATTCCAGTCCTATTGGATCATGATAATTTAATATAACCTTGTCTTAATTTGAGCCTATCTGCCAATGCCGTATTTCAAAAGATGGCCACACCCACAGGTGTTGGTGTTTAGGATTTGGACACACCATTTTTGGAACAAAATTCAACTCACTATGGAAACATTAGAATGCATATCTCATTGTTAACACCAGCAAGTTCCAATGGAAATTTCTGTCTTACAAAAGAAATATGACTGATGGAATGTTTGGCTATTTCACTGGGGGAGGGAAGGGGACAGTATCCTGAATAATGCACGTATTTTACAATGGATTAAAACCTGGCCACTGATTGACTGCAGGGAGGCCACTCCAACCATCTGGGTCTATATTTAAGCAATGCTTGAGCTGTCTATCTGTCAAAAATGCTCCCTAGAGATGAAGAGATCCATAACTTCTTCTCAAATCCCTTGGATGTCCATTATCTCAATTGACCTTATGCATAATGAAAGAGAGATCACTTTCTGGCATATTGCATTATATCATTACAGAGGCTGAACTGAGCAATTAAAAAACTAAAGGCAGTTTTATGACCATCTGGGTATTGTTACCATCTTCATAATCATTAGATTTAGTGCAAGAGATATATTAATTAGTGGGAAGAGAAACACAAGGAAAAAAAAGTATATTGTGTATGAGAGCTGTGGTCAGCTTGAACTTCATCTTATCTTGAGAAATACATTGTTGTTGTTTAGTGTTGCTACTGGGACTTGAATTTAGGGCTTGGGTGCCTTTTCTGCTCAAAGTTGTCACTCTACCACTTGAGCCATAGCTCTACTTCTAGTTTTTGTTAATTAGAAATAAAGAATGTTGGAAGTAGAGCAGTGGCTCAAGTAGTAGAGTGCTAGCCTTGAACAACAAAAGTCAGGGACAGCTCCCAGGCTCCGAGTTCAAGCTTTAGACCCAGCATACACATATTTTCTCCTTAATCAAATACACACACACACACACACACACACACACACACACACACACACACACACACACACACACACACACCCCTACCACCACTGCCACTAATAACAACACAAACAAACCAGAAATGAACAAACAAAACCCCCCACAGTGCTAGACAGTATCATATCCCTTTAGGATGTGAAAACACCATCGATGGAGACTTTAACGTTCAGAGAGAGTAGTAGTTGAGGGACAGGGGAAGGGAGGCATGCTCCCATTTCTTGGGTTGATAATTTCTTTTATTGTTAGAATTAAATCAAATATGGAACACTTGACCTGGAAGGAAACACACACATTTAAAAGAGGTTCTGATGTCTGCTCCAGATGCCCTTTAAGTGTTCTTGGTTCAGATATTTATCTCTAATGTAGAGTGGCTAGACATAAGAATGTTTAGATTTATAAGATATTCTTTTTCTTTTTTCTACTCTGTGTGTGTGTGTGTGTGTGTGTGTGTGTGTGTGTTTGTGTCTTGTGTGTGCTGGTCCTCAGACCTGTAGTCAAGGCCTGAGTACTGTCCTTGTGTGTTTGTGCTCAAGTGTTGGAGCTCTACCACTTGAGCCACAGCTCTACTTCTGGCTTTTTTGTTACATGTGAGTCTCACAGATATTTTTGCCCAGACTGGCTTTAAACTGCAATCCTCAAATCTCAGCCTCCTGAGTAGATAGGATTACAGGCATGAGCCACCAGCACCTGGCCATTCTCCACTGTTAAAAAAAGACAATGGAACTTATTGCTGTCGTATTTCTCAAAGTGACTGGCCATTACAGCTTTAGTTGCTATTGAACAAATAAAAACACTTGTAGAAACAAGTGTTTTGGCAAGGCTGCATTAACACATACATTTCTCACACAGGGGTAAATGTCTTTCTGTGTACTTGATCTCCTTTCTTTCTTTCTTTCTTTCTTTCTTTCTTTCTTTCTTTCTTTCTTTCTTTCTCTCTCTCTCTTTCTCTTTCCTTCCTTCCTTCTTTCCTTCCTTCCTTTCTTTTTTCTTTCTTCTTCTTTTTTTTTTGTTGGTTGTGGGGCCTGAACTCTGGGCCAGGGTGCTGTCCCTCAGCTGTTCCGCTCAAGGCTAATGCTCTACCAGTAGAGCCACAGTGCCACTACTGGCTTTTTCTGCTTTTGTGGTGCTGAGGAATCGAATACAGGGCCCCATGCATGCAAGATAAACACTCTACCACCGAGCCGCCACCTTCCCAACCCTCTTTCTCATTTGTTTCAGTTGTGGGGCTTGAACTCTGGGCCTGGGCACTGTCCCTGAGCTCTTCAGATCAAGCTAGTGCTCTACCACTTTGAGCCATAGTGTCACTTCTTGTTCTCTGGTGGTTATTGGAGATGATAGTCTCACAGACATTCTTGTCCAGGCTGGCTTTGAACTGCAGTTCTCAATCTCAGCCTCCTAAGTAGCTAGGATTACAGGCATAAGCCATTAGCACCCAGCTGCATTTTCTGCTGTGATATAATATGTGTATTCATTTATATCTGTATATCTATACTTCCAAAGATGAATTGCTTTAGGCAATGAATGTCATCAAATAATACCTATTCTACATGTGATACATTCTGAAATTGAGTATTCTATTTGATTGAAAAGAATAGCTATCATGGGCTGGGAAGGTGGCTCAGTGGTAGAGCGCTTGCCTTGCATGCATGAGGCCCTGGGTTCGATTCCTCAGCACCACATAAGCAAAAAGAAAAAAGCCAGAAGTGGTGCTGTGGCTCAAGTGGTAGAGCACTAGCCTTGAGCTGAAGAGCTGAGGGACAGCGCCTAGGCCCAGGGTTCAAGCCCCATGACTGGACCCCCCCCCCAAAAAAAAGAATAGCTATCATTATCCCGTCTGCATATTGAAAAATACTGTGATCAGGTATACCTGATTTCAGTTAACATTCAGATTTCAGGTACACCTGATTTCAGTTAACATTCAGATAGGGTATATTAGGGGTGGAGGGAGGAAAATTTCTATCTTACATATTGGCTTTGACATTTGCTATTGTGTCTGAAGTTTAATCTTGAGATTGTAGTTTTCCCCTTTCAAACCATTAAGATAGTCTGCATCTTGGTTCAGGTTTCCTTGACATTGAGCTCTTTTCTAACTCATGTCACAATACTCATGTTAGTTAAAAGTCCTACCCCATGTACCATTGATATTTCTGAGGGCCTAGGGGATGCTTTGTATATTCAATTTTTGTTCATTATGTTGAAACAAATTTATCTGCTCTTTTGTAGGTATCTTATAGGAGTCAACACACTGGGATCTTAAAGATTGTGGCTCAGATGGCGGCTGTCTGGGTGTTGGCTTTCTTAGTGAATGGACCGATGATACTAGTTTCAGAGTCCTGGAATAAGGAAAACAGGACTAATGAATGTGAACCTGGGTTTATTTCAAAATGGTATGTCATTATCATCACGTCATTCTTGGAATTCCTGGTCCCGATCATCTTAGTGGCTTATTTTAACGTACAGATTTACTGGAGCCTATGGAAGCGTGGGACTCTTAATAGGTGTCTCAGCCATCCTGGATTCATCTCTGCCTCTTCCAGTGACTCTGGACACTCCTCCAGACGTGGTCTAGGTTCAAGGACATCTCTACCTGACCGGAAGGAAGAAGCTGCATCTTTTCATTCAGAAAGACCAAGAAAAAATATCAACCTCTTGGTTTCCTTAAGAACCCACACACATAGCAGTTTCATTGCTTCTAAAACAGGTTCCCTTTCCCGCTTTGATTCCATAGCTCTTCAACAAAGGGATAATTTTGAACTTCTCAGAGCCAGGAAATTAGCCAAGTCCCTGGCCATTCTTTTAAGTGCTTTTGCTGTTTGCTGGGCTCCATATTCTCTATCCACAATTATACTTTCCATTTATCCGCAAAGGGAGCGTGGTAAAGCAGTCTGGTACAAATTTGTGTTTTGGCTGCAGTGGTTCAATTCATTTGTCAATCCTATTTTGTACCCTTTGTGTCATAAGCGTTTTCAGAAGTCATTCTTGAAAATTTTTTGTATGAAGAAGCAGCCCATACTACCATATAATCGGTCAATATCCTCTTGAAGAGAACGTTTTCACTTCTGGAAATTTTGGTGTTAATCACTTTTTTTTTTGGTCATGGGCTTGAACTCAGGACCTGGGCATGCTTCCTGAGCTCTTTCACTCAATGCTAGCACTTTGAGCCCCACAGCTCCACTTCCAGTTTTCTGGTGGTGAGAGATAAGTCTCATGGACTTTTCTGCCTGGGCTAGCTTTGAATCATGACCCTGGATCTCAGCCTCCTGAGTCACAAGGATTACAGGAGTGAGCCACCAGTGCTTGGCCTTAATCATTCTTAAGTGAATTTGATCTGGTTTTCATCTTGACCTTTGCACTCTGCCAAACAATCCATAACATGGTAACATGTGTAAAGTTACAGAAAAGAATATGGAAGTCAATGGAAAATGACTCCACTGGATTACAGTTTAATAAAGTGATATTTTTGTAATCCTCATGGCCATGAAAGTACTAATATTTTTCTAAGTCATCTCCACTTCTTTTCTTTTTGGTGGATCTTGAATATCATTGATTGTGAAAGTTCAAAGTTTATGTTTTCCTACCATGCTTAATTTTTTTTGCAGTAATATTACCTTTTTTTTTTTTTACTTTATACTAATACAGGTTCAGATGTATCTAGTTGGAAATTCATTCCCTAAAGTATGCAATAGAGGAAAGAAGCTTGTTGCTGAAGATGGCTAGGTCAGTTATGATCAGTTGGAAATTGGATTTGGGGTTGATTTGGCCATAGGCAAGAAACTAAGCTCATGTAAGCTCACGTGTATTTCCAGCCTTATCTTTGATGTTCCCCTGGAAAGAAGGAGTGGTGTAGTAGGAGAAAGGCGTGGCAGTCATACAAGGAAATGGGAGGGACTCTCAATGGTCACCAGTGGTTGGAACATTAGCTTGTCCAGTTCCTTCCTGACCTTATCTCCCCACTTCCTTATCAGACAAAACTTCTCTTTGTGAGACAAGATAAAGTGGGATAAAGTGGGAGGCTAAGAGTCGGTGAAAGGACTCTGACTAGATATACATGTATAATATTCACTCAACTGGAAACATTGAGAATTAGTAATAGACTATTGTTGTATTTCTTTAATGTGTTTGATCATATACCTGATATTTTGTATCATAATGCTCTGAGCTATTCCTGTATTATGTAATTTGTATAGGGTATGCTTTACTGACAATTAACAGTTAACTAGTTTGGTTATGTTCTATCATTTTTTTCTTTTTTTTTTGCCAGTCCTAGGGCTTGAACTCAGGGCCTGGGCACTGTCCCTGAGCTTCTTTTGCTCAAGGCTTAGCACTCTACAACTTGAGCCACAGAGCCTCTTCTGGCTTTTTCTGTTTATAAGGAATTGAACCAAGGGTTTCATGCATGCTAGGAAAGTACCACTAAGCACATTGCCAGCCCTGTTCTATCCCCTCTCCCCCCTTTTTTTTCTGGCAGTACTAGAGTTTGACTCAGGTTCTTGTGGTTGCTATGTAGATAGTTCTGTCAATTGAGCCACACCCTCACCAAAGTACAGTGATTGTCTTTTTTTTTTTTTTTTAATGTTACCAAAGTTTGAACTCAGCCCTTGAGCTTGTTAGGCAGGCCCTCTTTTATTTAAGTCGTACATTCTTTTTCCTTTTCATCTTTAGTTCTTTTTGGTGTTCTATGCCAATAATTAAAATAAATTAATTTTCTTTTTTGTCAGGTGTGGGGCCTGGGCGCTGTCCCTCAGCTCTTCAGCACAAGGCAAGCACTCTACCACATAAACCACAACACCACTTCCGGTTTTCTGGTGGTTGGAGATAAGAGTCTCCTGTACTTTCTTTGCTTGGGCTGGCTTTGAACTGTGATCCTTAGTTCTCATCCTCCTGAGTTGCTAGGATTACAGGCCTGAGGCACCAGAGCCCAGGAAAATAATTTTATTTGTTTATAATAATTTATTTTTCTCATAGCTAATTTAATCTCTCCTTAAGTTTTATTAGCATTTCTTCTGTAATTTCTCAGAGTTCTTATGCAGTGTAGTATTTTCACATTTTTTAGAGCTTTTAAAATTCAGAATGATTTCAACACTAAAATATGAAACTCTTTTAGATATGTACACAATTTTTATATGCACTAATGCATTCCATAAGAGGCTCATGTTTAACATTTAATAGCAATTGAGAAATAACCTCTCATGAATGCACATAGGATTAAGTGTCTGTGTGTCCACTGTAGGTTTAATATTTATAGATTAGAAGTGGTAACATGTGATAACTTGGATGTTTGTTGAATGGAGCAGTAATATGAAAACTTAAATGGAACTTGGGGAAAGCATGCCTAAATATTCACACATACTTCTTAAAGTTTATATAATATATAGTCCAATATACTATATTTCATTCTACCTAACATAAATGTAAGATATATTCTTATAATAATTTTATAATTTTATTTCCTACCATAAAACAGAAATTGCAGCAAATTGTCTATTATAGAGTACTTTGAAAAGTGGCTGGTGGTTCATGCCTACAATCGTAGCTATTCAGGGGACTGAGATCCAGAGGACTGAGGTTCAAAGCAGGCCTAGGCAGAAAAATCTGCATGAGTCCATCTCCAGTTAATTAGTAAAAATGCCAGACTGGAGACATGGCTCTACTGGTAGAACACCAGCCATTATTAGCAAGCAAGCTTGGTGAGAGTACAAATCCCTGAGTTCAAATCCTGGTATCAGCAAAAATAAAAATCACATTGAAGTTAAGTCTTATTTTGATTTCAAAATTGGTGGGAAATGAGTAATGTATGTTCTAGGAGTAATGAAATATGAAATATGCATGATAAATAAAATAAATGATGCGACTATTCCATGGATACTTGAAAATAAATACTTCAATGGCCTATGAATGCATAAATCAAGCAAATATTTTTTGAGTGTGTCTAATGTGCTAATTATGTATAAAAGTGCCTGTTTAAGGAATAGGAGTTTTCCTGTGGGGTTTTCTTAGCAGCATTTCTGGATATGTCAGAGATGCTCAGTGGATGCTTCTTGAAAATGCACGGCCTGGGCGCTTTGGCCACAATTAGTTCCACTTCTTCCTGCATCCTCACCTTTATATTGCAACTTACTTTTTGCTTCTTCCATCAGGAGTGACTTGCTTTCAGTACACTATTGTCAGCTGACACCTAATCAGTTTTGAGCCCAGGCCTTAAGAGGCTGTGTGTGTTTTCTTTAGGGAGCTGCTCAACTTGTAGGTGAAGCCACCAGGGTATTCTACTGGAAGATGAGAGAGATCATGGGAAGTAGAGTGAAGCAGCCTTGGCCTAGGCTGTCTTGGACTAGCTAGCCTGGCTCAGGCCTGTTGTGGGGAGGCAGAAGCAATCTTAACTATAACTAGATCAGAAGAACTACTCAGTGGACTCAGAGCCTCCTGAGTAATGATGCCATCTGAAAGTGTTATTCAGTGATTTCTAAGTGACCTGTCAAACAGGCACCCCATTGTGAATTAAATATAAACTCAGAGAACATAAACTCAGAGAGAAGGAAACATCCACGTGACTTCTTGTGAGCGAGCTAGGGCAGAAGACATTCACACTATTGTGCAAGAAAACAGAGGGTTTCTTTAAGGTCATGGCTACTCTAAAGGAACATATTCATTGCAAAATGATTTGGCCGCCCAGATAATTGATTTCTCAATAGCATCAATTACACAACCTAAGTGCATATACGGGGAAAATGTTGTATCTTATAGATGAAAAAGCAAGGGTGGACAATGGAAGACAAACTATGCTTAGCTGCATGCCTCTCTACTAGACTTACCTCAGTCTCTACAAAATGCCACTTTAAGCCAGGAACTGTAGCCTAAGGACTAGTTATGCATGTGGTATCAGGTACTCTCTCTCTTTGTAATATCTTTTGTTCTCCTGCTGTCATTTCCTTCTGTGCTTAGACTTGTAGTAGAGAATAAAGCAGGCCTGCTTTAGGCTTCATAGCTCTGTGAAATGATTTGTGGAAGAAGTTCATCTAATCTCTCCTTTCAGATTTCAATATTGCCTATTCACTGCTTTCTAAAGTAGAAATTGTAAAAATTTGAATGTAAAAGAAAGCATCCTGTAAAAAAAAAATTAGGGCAACTGTTGAGCCATTTATCTGATGCATGGACTTGCTTAAAATTTCCAGTAGTGAAGATAAAGATGGCAAAGCATACTTTCATTTCCACAGAAGGGTGCTTACCAGCTGCTTCTTAGAAACTGGTTAGACAAGTACTTTTACATTTATGACTACATCCTTCCTGTTTTCTCACCCTAGTCAAGGTCATCTGATCCATGGGTCAGAAAATAGTGATTGCTTGGGAGTTCTGCTTTTCTGGCCTCTCATTTCCAGAATCTAATTGGTTTGAGTTTGATTTTTGTTGTTGTTGTTTGTTTGTTTGTTGAGATTTTGTTCCTTTGGCTTAATTTGGATCGTCTGGAGTTCTGAACATCATACTCTTCTTTTCATGGAGGAGAGGCCTGCGTCTTCAAAGGTCCTACCAAGCAGTGGATGCTGTAAGGACAGAGTTATATATTATCTGGCATGGAATGTTCCACCAAAGTGGAATGACATAGCTTGAATAATTGTTCCTTTGTTGTAGGGCCAGAAGAGAGGGCAAGGCCCTGGCACCTGTCCTGCTACTGCTACAGAGCTGTCCTGTGTGGCCTTGTGTATTTTCAAACAGCCCAGGCCTTCTGTGGAAAAACCATGCAGTGGTTCTCCTGAATGTCCTCTAGGCAAGGCTCTGAATGGAGACATCTAGAATAAAATTCATAGGGTAATGATGCAGACATTTATGTATGGTGCTTATCGTCCAGCATAGGATCAATCACCTCAGTTCTTACAAACTAAGGAATGAAGAGAGTAGATGACTTGCCATGAATGATAGGATTGGCAGGCAAGTATAGTCACTTGACCTCGGAGTAAAACTAGGGTCCAGATACTGAGCTTCATCCCACACTATCTCTCAATTCTTAGAGAGCTTGGTGCCTTCCATCTCCCACTTATAGAAGTTTCTAT